ACAACACCAAGTCAAGGGTTAAGATCCCCTTACCGGTCATCTTTTAAAAAAAAAAAAAAAAATTGTTCATTAAAGATAATCTACATAAATAAAAAGATTGTTGGTTTATGTTGTTTGTTTTATCAGATTCTTACCAGAGCTGAGAGCTAAATTACTACAAGAAGCAAAAGTCAATTCATTCATAAAGCCAAAAGATAATTCTAAAGAAAATGAACTTATGAAAGATGAAAGAAAAACAATTTATACCAATACACTGCTAAATAGTTCAGCTTTGGGAAAGGTAAGAACTTTGGTTTTCATTTCAGCCAGTATAACTGCATTATAGTTATCACTCCAGTGACAAAAATAACTGTTCTCATGACTCAGATTCTGGATGTGTCTATTCCAGGAAATAGAAAAAGAGAAAAAGCCCAAGGAGATCAAAGTCAGAGTTATTAAAGTCAAAGGAGGAAAAGGAGATATCTCAGAAGCAAAAAAAATAGAGTATGAAAGAGTACATTGTCAGCAGGATTCAACTGAAAATGCCCATGCTATGTCTCAAGATACAAGATCTGTAATCATTGAACCACCAAACCCTGTCAATCCCAGCACTAACTCTAATGTCATGAAAGAAGATCCACATGGTGGAGGTTGTATGACAATGCCACCCATCAACATAACTAGTACTAATTTGATGACTGCGAATTTGAATTTGAATCTCTCCCACCCCAATCCAAGGTGAGCTGTAACAGAGAAGAGACCTAAAGTAATTCAATGTTCTTGTATAAATGGTATTTCAAAGAATCACATTCATAGTGTCTGTATGTGAACTTAACTTGAAGAGGACATATTGAAATTTTAATTAAATAATGGGCCATTTACTGAGTGCTTCTTATGAATGCTATAAAAGAAATTAACTTTTCTCAGATATATAGATGTTTAATATTTCATTAATGTCTTTTGGAAAAACCTCATTTTAAAAAAATAGATTCTCGGGCCGGCCCAGTGGCACACTGCTACAGTGCACCGCTTGGGAGCGCGGCGGTGCTCCCGCCGAGGGTTCGGATCCCACATACAGACCGGTTCCCGCTCACTGGCTGAGCGAGGTGCGGGCGCAACACAAAGGGTTGCAATCCCGTTGCTGGTCCGGTCCGGTCCGGGCGCGACACTGAGGGTTGCGATCCGTTGCCGGACACGAAAAAAGACAAAAAGGAAAAAATAAATAAATAAATAAATAAATAAAATAAAAAAATAGATTCTTAGAAAATGTCTTACCTTTGAAGAGAAAAAAGGTGATACGGCCTAAGTTCTGGTATTGATGTACCTTGGTGTAACAAAGGCTTTATTTCCCTATCACAGCAAATTCTCTAAATGGAGAAAGGATTGTCAAAAATAATCTTTAATAGTGAAATAGTCTTTCCAGTTCAAATATTTGGGGAGAAAAACAGTGTATTGGGCCAGTTTAAGATTTAGCCTCTGATACCATGAGATTGACAGATTCAGTGGAATCAATGGTATCAGATTCAATGGTATCAGATTGAGAGTTTGGTACCGTGAGTCTGGTTCATCAAGGACAGTGTGATGTATGGTGAGAGTCTATCTAGCAAGGCATTAGGGCCACGTCTATATTTAGGGAGACTACTGTGATTCTAGGTGAGGAAGGAGACTTAAGTTCATTAGCCCAAGCAGATTCTAGCAGACTGGTTTGAGCTATAGGTTGTAAAGCTTAGTGGTCTGCAGGGGTGGGCAAGTAAACATATCTGTGTTAGTCCAGATGTGGAGCAGTCTACAGACTGCAATAGCCCAGTTTTTCTTCAGGTGACCCCAAAACCATGGAGCCAGCGATTGTGGTTATAAGCCAGTCTTGGACAGCAAGCTCATAAATTGAGAAACTCCAGTAGTTGAGAGATACAAGCTCAGAACAGGTAGAAGGGAGCAAGAAGGCCAGCAGGAGTAACCCCACAAAATGGTTGTCACTACTGATGTTAGCCGTGAATTAGTTGTTCTCTGCCCAAGGACTGACAATTGCATTTTGACACTCAGTGTTCAAACAGTAGACTTCCACGGTATAACTTGTTCGTTCCTGAAGATAAAATGAAGGCATTTCTGGAGAGTTCTAATAACTTCTTATTTGTTTTTAATTAATAGGTTAACTGAAAGAGCAAAAAAGAGACACATTTCTTCACAATCTATTGGACGAGTTATGTCTAATAACAGGCAAGAGGATACAGGTCCCATTCAAGTAAGGCAAGAAGCTAGTCATTAAAATATGGTCTCTTTTAACATTACATGCCCTTTCCTTTTCTCTATCTTTGGGGCACTAACACTTTTAAAAATGTGCTTTTAGTTTCTTTTTTTTTTCTTCCTGAGATGAAAATAGGCCACCATTCCCTTAGTGTTTTCACAATTTTAGTTAATTTCCTATATCTTAATTTGTGTATTTAATGTGTGACTTGGGCAGAAGCTAAGATTTCCACCTTTAAAAGTCACAAGAATTTTTGTTTTTTCCCTTCCCAAAAATGATTTTAATATTTTACTTTATGGATTAAAAACAATTGCCAAATAGACACAACTGACTTTCATTAGAAAAATATAATCAGTGTAGTTCATCTCCCCTCTCCCCGATTTTTTACATAGGAAAGTAGCTTATTCAAAATTGAAGCACAGTGTTATTTATAATAATAATAAGTTGAAAACAACACAAACCTATCCAAAAGCAGGTGACCAATTAAGTGCATTAGGGTACATTCATACAGTGGGATACTACACATTACATCATGGAAGAATGTTCATTGACCTAGGAAAGTTTTTATGATCTGTTCTGTTGTTAAATGAATAAAAGTAAGTAACACAAAATGTTTTCCAGATGCTGGGTGCACAATTAATTTTTTCCTTTGGGTTTTCCCAGTATCCATAAAGCATATCATTTTGTAAATAGAAAAATAAGTTATTAATAAGATTAACAGAAGCAATTTGTTCATCAGTATGCAATGAATAGTATTGAAAATTAAAAGTTAAGATTATGGTTCTTATGATCAAGACTATTATTCTCAGAATATTAAATATGTTAAAAACATTTGTTTTATGAAACTTTTATTGGAGTTTGATCTGTTCATATGTTTAATGAAATTCTATTCTATTTCTTAGTTATTAAAATAATTGTTATGCCTATCATATACCATCCAAATAACTAGCAATTCCAGGTTTGTCATTCTCAAATAGTTACACACGTTTCTTCAGACTAACTCTTGTTTGTTTGTTTAGAGCCAAACGGAGAAGGGTGTATTTAATGAGCAAACAGGTCAAAGTGACCAAATGGCAAATGGGAACAAAAGGAAACTGAATTTTTCCAGATTTGACAGAAAAGAATTCCATTTCCCAGAATTACCT